GAACGTTCCCTTTTTACCTTTACGCAACTATTTTATTGCAAGTAAGCAACTAAAGTTAGGTAAATTTCACAGTTGGTTACAAATAAGTAAAAAAAAAAAAAAATGTAACACTTTCCTTCAGAATAAATTATTGCACTAAGCATGAATGTGTGATATTTTACATGGGTCCAAAATAAAAAATATTTTCACACACACAAATAAATAAATACATACTACGGAGAAAAAATAAACTTAATATAAAATAAAGTAAAAATTAATACCAATAATTCAAAATGAAATAAAATATCCTATGAAAAAAAAAAGATTTGAAACTGTTGAACTTTATAAAAACTACATATTTAGTAATAATGGGTTTATAGCTGAAAATATTGTTAACAGTGAGGGTACCCAAGTGAAGAAACTATGTATTCTAATCTTCATAAGAAAGAACATAGTTTTTTTTTTAAATTATATTTAATACTGGGTTGAGTTTTGATCTAAGTAACTAACTTGCTATGATCAGAAGTTATCATTAACCTAATTTTGAAGATCTATAAGAAAGTTATATAGAATAAGTGTGTCCATTGACATAAATTGTTTCTGCATTACAATCAAACTTTAACAAAGCAACTACCCGCTTTCACATAAGTTAAGGAGTAATATAGCATATAAACAAAAACAACTGTTTACAAAGGCAAATGTTATTCTTGGAGACATGTTAAAGATTTATGTTACCTTATTTGGAAAGTCATTAACATATTGTTGTTGAACCCCAAAATATTCAGGATACACTATGTTAACTATCCCCCAATGACTCAGTGATAAACCTGAAGGCTTGTAATGCTAAAAACCAGGTTTTGATACCTGTGGTGGATACAGCACAGAGAGCACATTGTGTAGCTTTGTACTTAACAGCAAATAAACAAGCTCTGCTAAACCATTATTGAGGCTATAGATAAGGTTTTCATTGTTTTAGTATTATAAAACATTACCACTGGGCACTTGATTACAAATGTTCCTCTCACATTTAATTGGTGGTAATCCTTTGAAGATGACAAGCAGTGGTTGTTATAATGTCAAGCAATATTTGTTTGATATTAATGTTAGCTTGCACATGTTTAAAAAGCAATTTTGAAAACAAGCAGGCAGTGCTGAGCATTCTCTCATTATGAAAAGTTTGACTTGCATAATTATGCTTACCAACTTTTAAATGAAGTTAGCTTATCCTGCTTATTACAGACTTAGGAATAAAGTAATCAACCGAATCCCACTTAATCCACAAACAGGTAATTTATAAAAGTATAAAACAAATATTGTGAGTTAACTCTTTCACTACCATGTTCACAGATAAACAACTCCCTCAGTTCCTGGTTTATCTTTAGATTCACAATAAAAAGAAGAAATTATTCAATACTTCTATTTATCTGCAACCTCAAACTTGGAAACTTCAGAAAGTTTAATGGAGAATATCCTACTCTTCATGGTGTTACAAAACTTGAAATTCTCCTATCTTTAATATCACACTATGTCAAAAACAAATATCATATACTATGTTCTATATATGTGCTCTAAAGTATGTACCCATGACAAGAAAAGTTTTTAAAAAGTAAATAAAACGTACCACCAGGAGGCTGTGCATTCTTATCAAAGATTGCAATATCTCTCAATGTGTCCAAATCAGATTTGACAGATTTTGGGGGAGATGTGTCTCCTGGAAGTTTCGTAGCCTTGAATATTGTACGAAGGTTTCTATCCACCCAGTACACATCTAATCCAAATACCGCTACGCCCATTGGATTGGGCAAGTTTCGTCTAATGTATTGTCTTTTGCCACCACTAAAGGACACACGCTGAAAAACAAAAAGTGATGCAACCAACAATACTAATAATTTTCTTTCAGTGTATTTAAAAGATATGAACAATTTGCAAACAACACACCAAAGATAAATGTGAATAAAAAACGACACAAAGATAAATAACGAGTGCTATTTTATTTATCAAAATTTTGTACCACTGTCTTAAAGTGGTAGGTATTGTAAATTTCTTTTAAAGACTTACTTTACATGAAGGTTTTTTCAGATACATACAAATGCATTTATTTTACCTGAATGGCATCTTCCCTGGAGTCAACCCAGTACACATTATGAGTTGTAATGTCAATTGTCAAGTCTCGTGGATTACTAATACCAGAAACGACAATTGGAGTGCGGTTTGTTCCATCCAAGAGTGATTTTTCAATTTTGGGGTACTGTCCATAGTCAATCCAATACAGGAATCGTTTTATAGGGTTCACAGCAATCTCTCGTGGTGAATCTGTTGTAGTTTTCAAAAGGACAAGGCGATGGGAACCATCTAACCAACACACTTCTACATAAGTCTCATGCGGAAACACATTGGTGAAATACAGATTTTCTGTAAAAACAAATAAATAGACAATGTGTCACAAATATTTCATAACACACATCTAATATACTTTATCTGTACAATGAACGGGACTATTCTTTAGATCACACAACAATTTAGTTTTATTTTTCACTGCTCCTTAACCTTAAAAAGTTAATGGCTAATCACTGGTATTGTAATGCCCTATAATAACATCTGAACAATTATTATTATTATTATTATTATTATATACTTGTGTATTTCTACAAAAGTGTTCTCATGATATTCCTTTCTTTCACCTTCAGATTTTTTAAAGAAGATAGACTAAATTACTAAATCTATTAAATATTCAAGAATGTTGTTTTCCAACTGTCTTATACATGCACATACATCCACATATAAATGTTTTACTAAAGAATTTTGAATAATAGAAAGGAGCTGTAGATTATATATAGACACACACACACATATATAGTTTACCTGCTAACCAATCCACAGCAATACCACGAATTCCATTGCTCCCAATTCCATCAGAGATCACATGGGTAAGGTCTGTGCCATCAGGTGTAACTCGATAAATTCCATTTCTACTCCCTTGATTAAATTCCACCCAATAAATGTGATTTTTCACGACATGAACATCCAGATGCAGGATATTGTGGCCTATTGCACACAAAATAATTATTTTTATTATTTGCTAAATGTCTGCAAATCAGCTAAAATATAAAACTGGTGAACTACATTATCTGTAATCATAATTTCATATAACAATATAGCCTATACTAACAGAGAAAAAATTAAAACTAGTTTGCATTTAAACAAGAAATAGCTAATAAAACAAAAATTATTTATTAACTAATCTGACTTTAAAGCATTACAATAGTCTTGTATGAAATGCTGTAACTATATAATGGCTTAAAAAATATTTCGTTAATTGCAAAAAGTTTCTTCTGAACATTACTAATACGCTCTAAAACACTTTTTTTTTTTTGAAGCAATGTACCTGAACCAGCTATAGGCTGCATGGCTTCACTATGATCTTCCAAACTGTATCCTCGGGCCTTATCTAACTCCGAAACTACAGCAAACGATGTGTATGCTTCACACTTCGTGGTTTCTTTCTGGTGGTATCCCGTACTACACAGACAAGCACGTTCAGTGGCTGTTGTAGGAACACAAATATGTTGGCATCCTCCATTGCCCTTTTGACATGGGTGACTTGCCACACCTGATTAAAGGAAATAAAAACACTCAAATCACTGTAAAGTAGCTGATACCTCATTACTTTTAATGCTGATGTATTACAAAGGTTTGTCTCTTGAAAAACTACACAACTTTATTGGTTATAAACAATTTATTAATTAAATTTAGCAAGAGTGTTTTTTGTATCTTTGTATATTATAATTGCATCACAGAAGCTTATATGTCATATACTTTGAAACATGTTAAGATATTATCATTTACAATAAATTAATCAGAGACCAAACTACTAACTATTCAGTTTCAAATTCACAATTAACATCAGGTTGTGTTCATAGTAAGAAACATCAAAATAGCCAGCATGTATTAATTACTAAGGGGAATTATAAATAAAACCCCATGTTTAATAGGAACACACCTTAAAAAGCAGAGGCATAATGGGAATCATAATATGAAAAATGTTTATGTTATAGGATGTTTCAAAATCATTCTGCACACTAAATTACTTTTCTCAGGAACTAATACTGCTTTTATTTTATCCTTTCTCTCACTCAATAATGTGAGGCTGGTGATATGTGTACCAATGTGTGTTAAATACTGCAAGGATAAATGAACACTGCCCAGAAAAAAAGATTATGCTTGCAGTAGTTTCATTTAAGGATAGGCCTGATATACTATTTTATAATACTAGAACACATAAACAACTTTTGTGACTATTTTTTGAAACCCCTGTACCTCTGATGAAAGCTCATTACCTATCAAAAGTAGTTTAAGATACAAATATTTTAAATATAAAGTTTTATGTATAATCATCCTGTACAATCAGCACAAGATTATCAGAAAATTCGCCTATAGAAAGAGCTTAAGTCCTTACAAATGTGTAACATCATTCACTGATACCAAATAAATTGAGACAGCTAAGGCACGAGGACACTGACACAATTAAAAACATGATTACAAATATATTGATCTGTACACTAATTAATCTGATCATGAAATGTTAAACATTCATTGTCTCACACTCATTTAATAACAGTCATCACAAACTCACCCAATTTCTTATTGTAGACTTTCAAGGTACACAAATCGTCCATGTTTTCATCCAAGGCAGTTGGATTACTGCCATCTGGTAGGTTTACTCTCATGATTTTTTCATAAATCACATCAATGTAAAACAGTCTGTTGTTGTAGATTGCTATACCTTGTGGTTTTGAGATACCCTCATTTGCTGGAATGATGGTCCTTCGGTCGTTACCATCAAAATCGACTGATTCAATCTACAAACACGATACTGATATATATACTTTTTCCCCCATTTATTGTAATGAAGAAAAAAACAAATGATTTCCAATCATCATGATTATTTCGACTGATTCAATCTACAAACATGATACTAATATATATTTTCCCCATTTATCATAATGAAGAAAAAAAACAACAAATGATTTCCAATCATCATGATTATTTCGACTGATTCAATCTACAAACATGACACTAATATATATTTTTCCCCATTTATCGTAATGAAGAAAAAAACAACAAATGATTTCCAATCATCATGATTATTTTGATTATTAAGAGATTTGGACACATGTACAAAAGAATGCAGTTTTTTTTGTTTTGTTTTTATATACAAGTAAACAAAACAGCATTAATCTTACAATTAAGATGAAGTCAATGTTTTTAGATCATGTTAATAATTGTTATATACAGTGCTAAGAAACACAAACTCTTCTATTTATGCCACAGCTCTATAAGATAATTTTGATAAGCTTAGTATCGTTAGTCATTTAAATTATAAAGCTTTCACCCATTTTAAAAACTTTCTATTTATGCGGAAACAAGTTAAATAGAAAAATTAAGACCCTACCAGAATAGGAATAAAAATGGTGCACTATTCCATATATATACATATTTAAAAGAGAATATAATTACCAATACATTTTAAGTTTTACCTGTGCACATTTGGTAAAACGTTTTTTCTTTTAAAATTACACAAACTATTGTTAAGAAAAAAATGCAAAAGTTTTATAAAAGGAAGTTTTAACACGTTTGTCAAGAAATGCCTATATTGTGGAGATACAGTGTCAGTTACTGCTCTAAAATGTGAAATAAATGTGTATAATAAAGCACACTTATTTTGAAACCAACAATGTGTCAGTCAAATTGACATCTTTACTACCAATGTCTTATTCTCAAGTTGAGAATATAGATTCTAAACAAAAAAATCACCCTTTCTAGTGTAATAATACACTCACCTCACCTCTTACTTCCTGTAGTTAGCAGCATAATAAAATCAAAATATTGCATTTTATCACAAAAATTAACATTAAATATTAGTTTCTATGAATGCATTTAACAAACTCTAAAGAACCAGTTATAAAACAAGATGAAATTATAAATCTGTAAGTCTAACCTACAAAAACCTTAAAGGCAACCCATAATAGGGGCCTCCACCCTGTCATCAAAGATCACTTGCCCAAACAGCACTTGCATTGCTGGTAGGCAAAACATTAGCACATGTGTGCTGTGACAGGTCAAGTACTTTATTACTCATATCATAACTGTGGTAAAATTGTGTCAATATTTTGTTCATAAGTTTGCTTAGCTTAGTTAGTGAATGATCTGTTGCTTGAAATCATACATCACTAACTGTTTTATTCTACCTTCACCCTTCTGTTTTCAGTTTTACTAAAATCTAATTAATTAGCACTATCACACAGTATATTTCGTTTACATTCCCAGAACTGCATGTAAATCTTAAAGTTTAACACTTCATTGAAGACTGTAATTTTCAAAATATAACAGCCCATCATCATGAGATCATATCGATAGATGCATAAAGTATGCACCTGTCTAATTTCAGCATAAAATTTGCCTAGGATACTCGTAAAATTTTCAATATTCTTTGTCTAAATGAAACGGTTTGTTTTATAAAATCATCATCTGCAAAGTTCTTTTGTTGCCTAGATGATTCAGTAACTCTTCTTATGTGAGTAACTGAAAGCGTATACCACAAGATGTGTCCACAGTAATTTTATTGGTTTGAGCAAATTGTTTGTTATTAAGCCTAAATGAATCAGTGTGTTTTCACTATGCTGCAAAAGACTGTCCTCTGTGAAGTTTTGCTGTGACATCATACATGCATGGCAAAGCCACTGAGAACCAGATATGGTTGATGCAACTTGCTGATTGGTTTTTCAACACAGCATTTAAAATGTTTAATACCAATGACATACTCTCAGTCGATAGCAGAGAATTCATTGTAGGGGGTAGATTAGATATGGTTGTTTGTTTGTTTTGAATTTCGCGCAATGCTACATGAGGGCTATCTGCGCTAGCCTTCCCTAATTTAGCAGTGTAAGACTAGAGGGAAAGCAGCTAGTCATCACACTATAACACCCCCATGGCTGAAAGACCGAGCATGTTTGCGGTGATGGGGATTCGAACCCACGACCCTCAGATTGCGAGTCGAGCACCCTAGCCACCTGGCCATAACAGGCCAGATATGGTTGAACATTTCCTGATGTGCAGTAGTTGTAATCTCCAAGGGAGTTAAAAACATTGTTGGTCTCTCGAGTATAAATGTGTGAGGCATAAATAAGAAACTGATGAATGTAACCATTGAAGTTTTTATATTATCTACCCAGCCACTCTCCAGATCCTTAAAGGTCAGGCAAGGGAAGTTTTCCATCATTTATACACAATTATAATGAACAGCCAATTTAACTATTGTGTGCACTGCTGGCTTATTTCATATGTTGCTTGAGGAAAACCTTAAGTTTGTTACTAATTCAAGGAGGACCTAGAATTTACAAAATATACTGTAACAGACAGGACAGAAATAACCAGTAGGGCATTTAAACAAGAACAGCTCTATTAGATGTATAATACCAGAAAAGTGGTGAAATAAGGCTCTAAACAAAGATTTGTTATACCTTTTTTTTTCAATTCAAGTTTATCACTATGAATGAGCCATATGCAACATTGTAGTTAATATCCTAAATACATATGTTTTTCAAAATTTAAATACATATAATAATAATTTCAAAACAAGATAAATACCATTAAATATAATATACAAACACACTCTTCTGCTGACTAACAAAACAGTAAATATCAGGTTGTACATCTCTAGGTCATTATGCCTCAAATTTGAGTTGAATATGATTCTCCAACTCACAGGTATTGTTTAACTGTAACCATATACACAAGAAATATGTTACAAAAGTAGGATTCATCAGGGCAACCAAATGATTCTGATAGTTGCATTTATATTTTAAAAAATCATACAAATAGTTATTGGTAACAAACAACCTAAGTGGCTGAAATCACCAGAAAAATAGCTGATTACTTAGCTACTTACAATGCCAGGAAAACTTTGACTCCAGTATAATCTCTTGTTCACCAAATCAACAGAAAGAACCTCCAGATGATGAAGCCTTTCCTTCACAAGAACTGTGCTGTTTTTTCCATCCATGTCAACTCTTCCCAGTTTGGGGGGAACACCAACCCCACCTTCATCCAACCAGAACAGCTTACTACATCAGAGACAAAACAAATTCATTAGAATGTGAGAAATTAAGCAGTTTTTCCTAATTTTCCATTTTCAATCAATTCAGTGTTAATACATTTTTCAGTTTGTTTCATTTATTATAAAAATGTTATCACCAAATTTAGTTTATCTTTTAAGGAATAGTGTGAATATTATCAGTTAAGTAGAAAGTAGAAATATGTTTGACAGATTCTCTGTTTCTATTTCATAAGAAACATCAAATCTATTCTAAGAGGCTAAACTTAACTTTTAACCATATGTTGAATCTATGGCTGAACTTTTAAGTATCATGATGAATTTAGGGAGGATCAACAATGCTTTGATGAAACAAGTGACAAAGTAGCAATGCATTTTGTAAGAGAATATTTCAGGTTTACATACATTTGAAATACAATACTTTTAATTGAATATGATGCAATTTAACACTTACCCTCTTAAGGTACCTTACATCTTTAAAAACAAATTTTGACAAGTATACAGTGAAAAAAAAAATACTACATAGTTTTATAAATATATTTTGTAATAATTAAAAATATTTTTAACAAGTTAATTTCTATAAATACTAACCTTAACTGTCCTTAACAAATATCATGGAAAAGTCTAATTTCATGATGTTCTGACAGGTTCAAAAAAAATACCTAAGACAAGTTTCACTGCTTGCAAGAATTTTAATAAACTTAAGATAAAAATCTCTCTCTCTCTCTCTCTATATATATATATA